GTAAGTAGTTTGAACAATAGGCGTATTATATTAACATATTATCCCTTGTATGACACTCCTTCCATTTCTTTTCTTTTCGTTTACGCAGCTCTTGTTAGCTTTCCGACTATTTTTCTCCGCACGACTATACCTTATTGATGATTGCAGAAAAGCATGAAACAACGTTGTATGCTGTTGGTCATGATTACAGAGACAGAAAACAAACAGAATCAGTTCAGCCTGTGACATTTTATGTAAATTTGCACAACATGCCTTGGCTGGTACCCTTGAGAATACCTCGTATCCCATCTGATGGACACAGCATCCTTCTGATGGTAGTCGGGGACATCTATCTGTTCATAGGACGGTAATTGTTATCAGTGTAGGCCAGAGGCGTATCTGCATCCGGAGTTTTCAGCGAAAGTATTTGCAGGTGGCAGTTGCCAACTCTCGTATACCATTGATCGAGTTAACTTGTATAAACCAGAGCTAGTTGCTATTCCACATTATTCGCTGCAGTCATTTATTCACAAAACTCAACTCACCTATCGAAATCATCTTCGGTTAGCTCTTGCAATATTTTCATTTTGAATGGATGAATTTCACGGTGCTTAGTAACTGCGTGCACAGAACCTATTGAAATCCGAGTCGCAGCAACAATTTTGCGTAATGAAGTATTAGGACTTATTCCAAAATGACTTCATCCAAAATTCTCCGATGATCACGATTTTTATTTCCAACAGATCCAAATTGAGTAAATTTAGTAACAAGGTCCAAAACATACCTATGCGAAGTTATCTTCTCCGGATGTCAGGCGTGAAACGTGACGGCAGTTTGCCGTGCACATTGATCTTGGGCACAATAAATTAGGATCATTTCCACTCTTTCGGCTAGTATGTAAACTATTTTCAACGTAAAATCTGAATCAATAGATCAATTTTCACTATAGCAAGATTGTCACAAAGGTAACTGACAGCAAAATAAATTCTTTCCTTCCCTTTTACCAACAAATAACTAAACAGGTATAACAATAAATACAGTTCACCCAGGATATCTGTGTCGATGAAAAAAAGTCGGAAAAAAAATCGGGTTGTTATTTGGTTATTGCCGCGTCTAATCTTCTGAATTGCTGTTTATGTTGGTAGTTTCCGCTTTAAACGAATTGGCAAACCCAAATGGGCAACATTTTGAACACTTATAGAAATAAAAAGTGATATTTTCGTGTGTGTTCGTTTTCTATCTCAACAAATTAAGGTAAATAAAGGTTTTTCTAATTTTATCGAAAACGAATCGACTGATCTTAAAAAATCAACCGGGCTTCGAAAGACCTTTCGAAAACCTATTACTCGACGTTTCTTCTTTTAATCAGTGGTTTTCGATAAATCCGTGGTGGGAAATTTTCAAATATAGTTTACAGGGTGTTCCTTAATGATATGCGAATATTTAAGGGTATGAATCTACATGAAAAATTATTGTTAGTTTGCTTCATAAACTGTGGTCCAAAAATGTTTCCTTACAAAAATTCGGGGTGTTGAAGTTTTAGGAAAAAAATGGAAATTAATTAATATTTTCAGAACCGCTTCAGATATATCACTGGTATTTAGGACGTAGTGAAAGTTAATACAGTTGCATATTTTTCAATGCAAAAATAATTTTTAGCTTTAACAGTGGCGTGCGTATGGGTATTGAAAATGGTATGCCAATGGTTTTTTGCCAATTGAAAATTATTTTTGAATTCCTCGTTCAATTTAAAACAAATGCTTTTACTTGAGTTCGCCATTTTTGAGTAAAAAAAAACCATTCTATTGTCCAAGTTGCAAAATTATATATGGCAATAGAGTCGATGATTGAGGACGTTATATTGAAATTCTAGTTATGTCACATTGTAGAGAAGAAAAAAATGGCAACTTTAGTGTGCCTTAAACTTTGAAATCCCACCTCAATTAAACACAGGGAAGAATAAGAGTGATATTGGGAAAATTCAGTTTAATTCGTCTATCTCTGGAAATACTCGAAATCGCGAAACTATCTAAGTGCCAATTTATTGGTTACCTAAATGCAAAGCTTCGCACCCACTTAAACGGGGTCGTACCTCTCACCGTTTCCAAGATCTCAATGGTGAGGGTCGAATTTGAAGGACCCGGTATATTTTAATAACAAAAGAGTAAGTAATCATCAAATAATATTTAAAAATGGTGACACAGCAGCAGTTTCCTTGTAACGCAATTAATGAAGAAATAACGTTTGGAAAGAAACATGATTATTATCTATGAACATATCGAGAAAATTTTTTTCGTCGGAGATTGAACGTTTCAATTCAAATACTCGACAACTACATAAAAATCAGTTCTTTTAAACCCCCTACGTACTTCTTTTTCTATAAACATGTACTATTCAATAACTTCTTAAATATCATTATTTTATCACCATTTCTTCCACAAAAAGAGTAAGACACTGTTTTTCGGATAACGGATAACATCACGCACTCTCCACTGTTGCCGCACAACTCCAAGGTCTGTGGTAACCGACAAGGTTTCGTATGTTTCAGATGCATAATGCAGCGATAACGAGGCTCTGGAACGCAATGCTGCAACTCCCATCGGCAGCAGTTCTCGCAAAGGGACGAACGGTGAACGGTCGGACCATGCGAAGCGGTGGTTCTGAAGATTTCGCGCCTGTGAGGGCTACCGATTAACCTGCGGATGGCGGCGTTAGCATGCATTAGCATACGGTTATGAGCCAGACTCCGAGGCAACTGCGTCAACTTCTTGAGCGCTCGTGAGCAGGTCTCTGTCGTCTACAAGGACGGGCAGCGTTTTTGACATTCCTACTCCAGTTTTATTGGAGAAGAGTTGACGTAGATGGGACAATTCTGCGGTTGACTTGATACAAGGTGTTCCTTAATGATATGCGTATATCCAAGGGTGCGAATCTACATGAATAATTAATGTTAGTTTGCTTTATTAACCTTGTCCGAAAATGTGTCCTTACAAAAACTCGGGGTGTTGAAGTTTCAGGAAAAAAAAGGAAATTAATTAATATTCTCAGAACCGCTTCAGATATTTCACCGATATTCAGAACGTAGTAGAAGTTAATAGAGTCGCATATTTTTCAATGCAAACATAATTTTTAGCTCTAACAGTGGCGTCCGTACAGGTATTGACTTTGATGTTTTTAGGAAAAGAATGGTACGCCAATGGTCTTTTGCCAAATAGAAATTATTTTTGTAATCCCCGTTCAATTTAAAACAAATGATCTCTCTTGAGTTGCTTTCTTTCGAGGCGCCATTTTTGAGAGAAAAAAATAAAAACCGTTCTACTGTCTAACTTACAAAATTATTATTAATTTAATTGGAAAAATTAAACACATTAGGGGTACCGAACAACAACAACTGACAACATAAACATAACATTCAAACCAACGAAATAATTACAAAGTTATTGAAAATCGCCCCCTTCACTTAGTATGCATGCTTCCGCCCTCCTTCTCATGGAATTGCGCACTCGTTGAAATATCCTTGGAGCGTTTGTTATTCTATCACAAGCTGCAACTATTCTTTTTCTTAATTCCGCTACAGTGTTAATAGGACTTGTGTACACTAGTGTCTTAAGATAGTTCCACAAAAAGAAATCTAAGCTGTTGTAGTCTGGGGACCTTGATGGCCATTCTTGGGGCCCACCGCGGCCAATCCAGCGATTTGGATAAACGGTTTGTGAATAATTACGAACCGCTACACTGAAATGCGCTGATGCACCATCATGCATGTACCACATGTTGTTTCTTATTTCTAACGGAACATCATCAAGCAGCAAAAGCAACTGTTGTTGAAGAAAAGTGAGGTAAGTCTGCCCACCAAGTCGTCCGGCAAGAAGAATGAGCCAATAAAGTAGTTGCCAATAATTCCTGCCCATACGCTAACCGAAAATTGGTGCTGGAAATGGGTTTCGGTTACTGCATAGGGATTTTCTTCTGCCCACAAATGATTATTATGGAAATTCTGAATGGCATTTCGAGAAAAATCGACTTGGTCCGTGAACAGAATCATTGATTCAAATTGCGGATTTTGTGTAAGTTTTTGAAGATACCACTGACAAAAGATCACACGTCTTGGAAAATCAATGGGAAGTTACGCCTGTACTCTTAAAATATTAAGGATATAACAAAAAGTCCACTAAAATTCGCCAAACAATTTGGTGGCAAATATTTAAGTGTCCAGCGTTCTTCCCTCGTACTCGCTTCAGGATGTTCTTCGACTTCGTGCAGCACTGCTTCCTCCATTTCAGGTGTTCTCACACTTAGAGGTCTACTACCCTCAGATGTTCCTTTTCGGACAGAACCAGTCTCAACAAGGCGACGCTGAATATTCGAAAAGGTTCGCTATCTGGCAAAGCACGATGATAAATCCGTCTGGCTTGCTCACCATTACTGTCGGTAAGGCCATATACGTAATGCATTTCCGCCATTTCTGCATTTGAATAATTCACCATTATTAACAAGTTTGTAAAAACTAAATAATGAAAAAGATGTCACAGCGAATACATTTGAATAACAGAGTCTTGTCAGATGTCAAAAACCAGTGACATATTCCAGAGCAACTAGATATTTATTGCTAAATTGCATTCTTCAGTTATTACATTAATTTTCTCGGACAATAGAACGGTTTTTATTTTTTTACTCAAAAATTGCGCATTGAAGGTAAACAATTCAAGAGAGATCATTTGTTTTAGATTGAACGGGAAATTCAAAAATAATTTTTATTTGCGAAAAAACCATTGGCGTACCATTTTTTTCTTAAAAAATATCGAAGTCAATACCCGTATGCACGCCACTGTTAAAGCTAAAAATTATTTTTGCATTGAAAAATATGCAACTTTTTTACCTTCCACTACGTGCTAAATATCAACGAAATATCTGAAGTGGTTCTGAAAATATTAATTAATTTCCAGTTTTTCCTATAACTTCAACGCCCCGAGTTTTTGTACAGAAACATTTTTGGACCATAGCTTATGAAGCAAACTGACATTAATTTTTCATTTAGATTCACACCTTTAAATATTCGCATATCATTAAGTAACCCTCTGTATAAATTAGCGCATATTGTTGCTTATTAGTGCCGTTTCAGATGGAACGTATGGTCAGAGCAGATCATCAGGACAGACGAGCAAGTACCATTGGTTTAGTATGAGCATTTCACATGAAGCGCGTATGATCAGTACGTATGATCTCGTACGTCGGCCATACGCCGAGCCCGTGCGTTAACGTAGCATCAGCGCGCGCACGAGCAATAGCTTTAATGAGCGATTTCACAAAGGACTGACGGTCAGTTGCGTACCAGCAAGCGTGGTTGCAGTTGCTTGTCTATGCACGTTTTTTGAGGTTACTTGTAATAAAATTTAACAATGAATCATTTAAAAATCGACACTGAACTCTTAATTAGTGCGATTGAATCCAAAAATTGCATATGGGACATTGCCTGCGACGAATATAAGAATAGAGATATTAAAAATGCAGCATTTATGGAGGTAGCCGCTGTTGTTGTACACGAATTTGATAGGTTAAGTGAAAAAGAAAAACATGAAACAGGTAGGACTTTATTGTTTTTGTAATTAAAACAGTTTTATTTATTTCAATTGATCTTTGACTCTTGCCAAGGAATTTGTCAAGCAGGGCTTACAAAATAGTTTGCAAAAGCATCTCTTACAGAATAACCTATCCTATCATGTCTTACTAATCTTGGATTCATATTAGAAATGCCTTTAATGTTCAGGGTATGATGAAATGCATAACCGTCGCGAATGCATACAAAATTATGCAAAACACAACAGGCTTTAATAATTTTTTTAGCAAGGCGAAACGATACATCTAGAGGTCTGTGAAATATGCGCCACTTATTGGATAAAACACCGAATGAACATCATATATATCGTCTAGTTCTGGTAAGGCGATAATTGAATATTTTTTATTGCGGTTTAAATTTTTTCTAGCATATGGGCGCAGTAAATGGGGAGTAAGACGAAATGCCTCATCACCAACAATAACATATGGGAAAGGTTGCGTTTCGTTATACCCTGAAATCGGCTTATCCTCGGGAATATTTAGCAAATTATTTTCAAGCTTGTTCCAAAATGTACTATTAGTGAATACAGTAGAATTGCCTGCGACGAATATAAGAATAGAGATATTAAAAATGCAGCATTTATGGAGGTAGCCGCTGTTGTTGTACACGAATTTGATAGGTTAAGTGAAAAAGAAAAACATGAAACAGGTAGGACTTTATTGTTTTTGTAATTAAAACAGTTTTATTTATCTCAATTGATCTTTGACTCTCGCCAAGGAATTTGCCAAGCAGGGCTTACAAAATAGTTTGCAAAAGCATCTCTTACAGAATAACCTATCCTATCATGTCTTACTAATCTTGGATTCATATTAGAAAAGCCTTTAATATTCAGGGTATGATGAAATGCATAACCGTCGCGAATGCATACAAAATTATGCAAAACACAACAGGCTTTAACAATTTTTTTAGCAAGGCGAAACGATACATCTAGAGGTCTGTGAAATATGCGCCACTTATTGGATAAAACACCGAATGAACATTATATATCGTCTAGTTCTGGTAAGGCGATAATTGAATATTTTTTATTGCGGTTTAAATTTTTTCTAGCATATGGGCGCAGTAAATGGGGAGTGAGACGAAATGCCTCATCACCAACAATAACATATGGGAAAGGTTGCGTTTCGTTATACCCTGAAATCGGCTTAGCCTCGGGAATATTTAGCAAATTATTTTCAAGCTTCTTCCAAAATGTACTATTAGTGAATACAGTAGAATTCGAAAATTTACCAAATGCACCTACATCTATATATGTGAAGCAATAGTTGGCATCGCATATGGCTAAAAGCACCAAAGAAAAAAAGTGTTTATAATTGAAACAAAGAGAACCACTTTTAATGGGCTTAATTATACGTATATGCTTCCCATCCACAGCGCCAATACAGTTTGGGAAGTTAGCATACATTTCAAAATCAAATGCAATGTCTTGCCACTTTTGTCGGAATAGTTCCGGCATACAATCCTTTTTGATTATTCTCCAAATTTCGTCGCATACTAACTCTACAATATCACTAATAGTTGAAATACGGAGTCTGTAGGTGTAATGGATGTCAGTAAAGGTGTTGCCGCTTACCAAGTATCTGAAAAGCGATGAAAATTTATAGTTTCATGTTTTCCTTTACAGTGTTACTAATGTAAAAGAGATGGAAAACTGCTAGGGATGCCTATGTACGAGATAGAGCCAAACTATGAAAAATGAAAAGTGGTGATTCTGCTAAGCATATAAAAAGTATATCTATTTCGAGAACCTAACATTTTTAGAGAAAACGATTGACCTAAACAAGTACGTTTCTTCTCTATTTAGGGCTAAATTTAAAAACAAAATTTACTTGCTAAAATTTTCAAATTATTTTTTCATGAACTGGCATTGTTTTTTATTTTGATCATTTTCTCAACTTGGACATGTGTGTTTTTAGAAAAAAATATTTTTTTAATTTGATATAAACATAATGAGAGAACGTGTTACTTTTTAGAACAGACACAAGATTCGACGCTGATGAAGCAGGTCAAGAAAACCAAAATAACCAGGTTGTCGATTTATCGGAATCTGATGCAGATGTTGATGTTGAAGGTTCGATCAAGGAGTCACAGTTAAGGCAGAATTTTACCAGAACAAAACGCAAGAAAATTGACACTTTAGATAATAAACTAATAGCATTTCTCGAGGAAGCTACAAAAAGTGACCAAGACGATCACAAAGCATTTTTAACATCTCTTTTGCCAACCCTATAAACTTTTAATGAAGCACAAACACTAAAGTTTAGATCTGAAGTGCTTCGTATAATAATGGAAATCAAAAATATTGAACGACATTCTGTCGTAACTCATCAAGTACAATCTGTATCAACCCAAAATGTTTCTTCACAGATACAGCAATTTAATGTAGACAATTCCAACAATTGGTCATCAAGACCATCAACATCGTATAGTTATCACTCATCATATCATATTTTTTTACCTTCACCCAGTTGTAGTGATACAAACTACCGTCCAACTTTATTAGAACTGCCTGCGACACAATTAGATGACCAGACGCACTAACATCGCTATTCAATGCTTATTATATTGCATAATTCTATATATCTTTCAAGAAATCTGAATTAGTTTCATTAAGCAATCTTTGTTCTTTATGCAAATATGTTAGTTAATAAATGATTTTTGATAATATCTTTTTTCACTTACCTTATACATACACATAATCTCTCCACTGACGTAATTGACACCCTAACTTGATTTGAAAATTTTAAACCATCTTCTAGCCTGTCGTGTAGTTAGTCAAATGATCTTATTGACATCCGAAAGTAATTAAAAAATATTCTCTCATCTTCTCTCAAACTGGAGTACAAAATAATAAAGGCACCTTTTAGATACCTTGTACTTATAATCGGATGTACCCATGAACGTTTCTTTTTGTTTTCTCGTCTCCTTTTAATTATAAGCCAAGATATGGCAACAGCGATTTTCCTGCGACTGTTGAACATGGTATTCCAATTTGAACTGACGATCCGTTGCATGTGAAATGATGAAGTCCAACGCATCATCAGTGCTGATATTTCAGAGCTCACCATCAGCGCTGACCATACGCTTCATCTGAAACGGCTATTTCTTCAGTAGGTTCTAAAAGGAGTACATCACAGTAATGTCTGTGGGATACTAATAATCTGTGCAGCTGTCATAATAGGTGATGTCCAGACTTTACAGCTTCATCTCTAACGTGGGTAACACCTAATTGTATTTGGCGATAGTTGTCGGCGAGCGAAGCAGTCTAGTGTACGCCAACCAGTATACTATATGGAAAAACTATTGAGCATTTAGCCTTCACATAAAAATTTAAATCCATAGTTAGATGTGCTGTCTATTATTAAAATGTAATCATATAAACAACTGGAAAGAATAACCGTGGAGAACTGTTCGACGGTGACGCCGAACACCCTATAAAGTGCGGGTAGGTCACAGTCAGCTAGCGTATTAGTTTTGGTGTTTTGGAGTGTTGTCAAATTGTAGGTTAGGGCATGTTGTGGATTAGTTGTCAAGTAGTAGGTTAAGTGATGCAGCCTAAGCATATTGCTCAATACTTTTCAGGTATTGATAAATAATTGGTTAAGGCTTTCGCGGCCAGTTGATAAACTGCTGTCTTGATTCGCTAGCACGAGTCGCCAGCTTCTTCAGAGGTCCTTCCATTTCCGATGCTGGATGTAGGGTGGATTTCACAATTCAACAAACCATTCTTCTACACCAATAGGATACGAGTACCAAACAGTCCGATAAATATACCCAATCAGCCTCAAGATCTCTCCGTCAAATTTTTGGCAGCAAATAGCATTAAAGTATTCAAAACAAAACACTGTAAAATATGAAGTGACAGCTTGCCATTGAAATATTTTCAGTTTATTAAATATTATGAAATTATATAAAACTGAGCCAAAAATTTTTAGCTGAAGGTTTTTCCTGAGATTCGCTTTGCTTCTGTGGCTCAGAGATATAGTGTTTTCTTCTGATAAAACTAGCGCAGTTTTTGTGTTTAAAATACTCTACTTTAGTTAATACCTTTGATCCTAAAGTTGCTCCCATAACAATATTAAACAACTCTCATGTCGTGTCGCGTATTTCGAAACGATGTCAAGGGCCGGCAGGGGAAAGTCTTTCTCTGAGAACTGAAAATCATTAAACGCGCTGTTTTCAGTCTATTTTATTCTGTCCCTTGGAGACGTACAGAATGAAGAAAAAAAAGACTACAGTGCTCAGTGGCCACTCAGTGGCTCAGTGCTCGTCTGTAATGATAATATTCAAATACTACTAAACACCTAAATAGCTTTCTGGCCTTTCAATTTCGAAGCTACCAGTCCTCGCTTAGAGATGGTAGCACAGGTAAGGATTTACGGGTATACGGTTACGGATGTTTATGATTCCTCTCGATATCGATATATCGTCATGAAACCATCGATGCGTAAAGATCGATGTTCTACGTCCGATGTATCGATGTTTTCGATACATCAATGTATCGTCTAATGTCGCCATCCCTATATTGTATCCCCACCAGTTACCAGTCAAAAACCTTAACCTCCAATATTTTGTCTACTCGTATTTATAATTCTTTTTAGCTCTTATTTTTCAGTAATTACTAATAATTTTATGTCTATGTCTACAGTGATTGCATTATGCACCTCGGAGATGTAGGGTTTAACATGTTTAAGACATATCGGTGTTTTAGGATGGGGACGACATACTGTTTTGGTTGCTTTGAAGAAATTCATTAGCCCATGTATTTATAACAAATAATTACTATTATGATGTAAAGAGAGATGAGGAATTGTTGGAATACATTTTATATTTTATTTTCTTGCAAATCCACACAATTCAACAGGTATGTGTAGCTAAAGTGATCACATATCACACAGTATATTGAACTTAACAAATTTCGAGATTGCCATGAATTAACAAACGACCAAGCCTGCTGCCAAATTTAACAGCTAGAGAATCGACCTATTATTTCTCCCATTCCCATTCGCTGAGGGGATAACGGATGGTCAAATGTACACCTATAACATAAATCAAAATACATGAAAGTTGTCCTGTTTTCTCTGTACAAAAGCATCATCTTGGAATCAAAAAGTGGTCTTGTTTATAATACAGTCGTATTTTCACGGTTTTATTCAACGTTTTAATAGAAATCACTGATATTCTGAGACCTTTCACAGCTTCCGTCAAATTGCATTTCGATAACGTATTTTCCTATTAGTCCATAATAATAATGTTGGTGAAATCGGCCCGTAGACTGCCAGACCGACGGAAATGGGTGACATGGTGTTTCGTGATATATCTAAGTCATATAACATTCAAGCAGCACAATAACTCATTTTCGATTTTTGTCGCCATCACACTACCTCCTCGCCCAGTGTCGTAGAAATTAAAATCATTGTATAGTAAAACGAAAAATTTGTGGAGGCCCTCCTTCTTTGATTTTCTAATAATTTACACACGTGATTTCCGTTTAAGTATTCTCCATATACATCCAGACAACAGCTTCTGTTTGTTTTCTGAGTACGCTGTGAATGAACATCAAAAACGTGAGAGTGCACACAGACCTTGCCCCAGCAGTCTGGCTGTCCTGTCCTGTCAATGTAAGAATCGGTTCTGGCGATTTTTTACCGAATTTCTGTATCCCTGCAAGCGGTGCTCAGCTAAGCCTTCTTCACAGGTTCAGGTCATCATCTACCCAGTATGAAAGGTGACCCTTATTTAAACAAAAACAACAAGGATTCAGATTAATCTAGAAGAAATCCGAAATATGTTTTAAAAAAAGGCATGCAGAATATGCAAAATTGAGCAAAAAATTGATAGAGTGGCTCCAGCACTGATATAAAAAGCCTGTTCGCTATTCCGGATGGCATTAATTATTATATCCTACAACTAAGTTTAATGTAGCTTAAAAGCTGTTAACTAAATTAGTGGTAAAATTAGTGTGGACGAGTTGACTGAATAAGTTCAGTTATACCCTTTCAGGAGTAAATAGATTGTACGAAACTTTTCTCTTCCATTTACAACTTTTAATGTCGGACAGCATTAAAACAGAGCACCAGTGACGTTTCGCTATTTAGTAGCAAACAACTATTTAGGTGCAAGAGGCGTGAGTCTTATTTTTAACACGCTTTCATTTGCTTCGCCTGTATGTATACTAAGTGACATATAAATCCGAACACCCAGTTTAAATGGTTTCATTTTAATAAAATTTTGTATAAGCACTTAATGAAGAATAATAAGTAAATGATAAAAATTTCAAAATGATTGCACTGCTTTAAAGCCCTTTGACCTTTAATAATGTGTGGATGCACCCTGATGTGCTACGCATTCTCCAACGCGCCTAGGCATGCTTCTGATCAGGTGGTCAATGTCCTCCTGTGGTATCTCATTCCAGGCAACCACCAACTCCTCTCGAAGTGCTTCTAGAGTCTGAGGAGGACGTTGCAAATTGAGCAATCTCCTACCCATCATATCCCACACGTGCTCAATTGGGGATAAGTCGGGAGATCTTGGTGGCCATGGTAACAATGTGACATCATTATGTTGAAAGAAAAGTCTATTGTGACTCTTGCAACATGTGGTCGGGCATTATCTTGTTGGAAAGTTGGATCTGCCAGGGTGTCAAGATAGGGTAAAAGATGGGGTTCTAGAACTTCGTGGGTATAACGCTGCGTGTTCATGTTACCTCTGATGAAGATTAAAGGTGACCTGGAACCATAAGCTATAGCACCCCAAACCATAACTCCAACAGTGTGATGACCATGTCTTTCAACAAAAAACTGTGGATTCCTCCTTTCACCACGTCGCCTTCTAACCCTGGCACGACCATCGTGCATGCCTAAACAAAATCGAGACTCGTCACTAAAGACAATACTGTTCCATTCCTGATCCCAGAGTGACCGTTGTCTGCACCACTCAAGGCGATTACGTCGGTGTTCTCGAGTTAAAGGGAGGACCCAGTGTGGCCGGTATGAAAACAAGCCAAAACTTCTCATTCGTCGGTAAACACTTCGCATGCCAATAGGTCTTCCGTGTTCTGCAAACCATTCATTTGCTATGGACCTGGTAGTGGAGAAACGGTCCCTTAAGGCCAATAATCTTAGGCGGCGATCTTCACGGTCTGTTGCTCTGCGGCGGCGTCCAGAGTGCCCCTTGCTCTTTGCGTACGGCCTTCTCGAAGCCATGCCTGACAACACCTTACCACAGTGTCTACACTTCTTTGCACTCTAACTGCAATGGCCCGAAAAGAAAGTCCAGCTTCCCGAAGTCCCACTATACGGCCCCTATCAAACTCACTAAGTTGACGAAATCGTACAGGTCTCCGTACTCTAGGCATCGTAACCGATCGAATGTCCAACTGATAAGGCTGACAATTATTTCACTTGTTATTTACAGTAAGACAAATACATTCACCAACTTTTATTAAAATAAAAGCATTTAAACTGGGTGTTCGGATTTATATGTCACTTAGTATATGTAACGGAATCTTTGAGCATAATTTTCACTAATTTCCAGATGTTTGATTAATTTGAAACTTGGCGTACGTATCAAGGACCGATGACAATGCAATAATTTGATAACAGTTTTCCGATATCCTTATAAGAAAAATTCTGTAAAAAGCAGATATGTTAATAAAAAGCCACGGATTTCAAATGCCGCTTTACGATTTTACGAATACTGAAACTACAAGCCTCTGTAGCTCAGTGACAGAGCACTGGTCTTATAAACCAGGGCTCGTGAGTTCAATCCTCACAGGAGGCTGATTGTGGTATACCTTTTTTATTTTTCTAACTCGCTTTTATTAGCTTGACCTGTATGTATGTAGGTAACGAAATCTTTGAGCTTAATTTTCACCAATTTCCAGAAGTTTGATTAATTTGAAACTTCGCACTAAGAAATGAATAATAAATGATAGGTTATAAAAAATAAAAAACACGTTTTTATAGCTAACCGAATTAGAGTAGAAAATAATTTCTAATTAAACAGAGTTACAGTAGTATAATAAAATTGAGGTTATCAACAGAATAATTCAATTCTGAGTAAAAGGCGTGGATTTAACTACATTTTCATAACTCTCATCTCATAGATAGTTGCAAATAGAATGATTGTAACATTTAATATATCAAGCACCCCACGCTTTTTACTCTGAATTTAATTATTCTTTTAATAACTTAAATTTTATTAAAATTTCATTTTGCGGTCATTAATTATGATTGATTGTTCGACCATCTACTACTGTAATATAACCTCTTTGTAATTAAAAATTATTTTCTACCTTTTATTTCGGTTAGCTATAAGAGCGTGTTTTTTAAAACTATTATTTATTATTGCTAAAATCGACTACCAGACGACCGCATATATTTGAATAAAAAATCCGCACAACATTTTTTTTTAAGTTACTTCAAAAACTGAAATTAGCTCAGTTATGGTTAATAATGCTACTAAGAACAGCAGGTCAATAAATAAAATGCTTATAGTTGAAAAACGTGAAGAAGATGTTACAACCAAGAACCATCTAAATAGTCTCCTATCTCTGATGCAGAGTCTTCATCATCAACGTCATTATCTCCAGACAAATTAGACTGGCCCATCGGTTCTTCAGGCAGAAGAATTTGAACAGTTTCCTTGAGAAATGGTTTTGTCGTTTTTCTGGGACTAGGTCTCATGCCAGCCTCTGCGGCCTCTTCTGACATCATTCCTATAGCCAATAAAGCTTTTTTAATGACAATGAGTCCATGGAGCAGTATTTTGTGAAGAGTTGGTGTCATTGGATGCCACGAATATAATTCAACGTACAGTAGTGCCGTGTCCAAACAAAGTATTTCAAATTTCTGTTTGTCTATTTTATGGCCGCTTGATATCGCTTCTAAAATTACTTTAAGACGAAAAGGGAGACGGGGATCTATACCGGTTATTGTTGCTGATAGCTCATGATCCGTAAAAAAAATCTACTACTGGTATTCCCAGCATTGCTGTTTCCAAAACCAGCTTCTTCAACTATCAGACCCATTTGGGATCTAAATTCCTTTTGTATCTCCAATTCCCTTTGTTGAACTATTTGTTTATCTCTTTCACTTGTTAAATTGCCATTTCTTCACTCGCAACTTGTACGCAATATGAAGCACTCCTTCAAACAGTCTTATTCTGGCATGCCAAATTTTAAGGACTCTTCGTTACAAGGACGTTTGTTTGATATATCGTTGAAGTCTTTGGATGTAGCACCGCAAATAGCATTTCATCGTGGATTTTGTGTTGGCTGCGGCATTACACACTTTCTTATCAATCATCGTGAGCATCATTGCATGATTTACTAGAAAGCTTTTATTTAATTGCGCGACCTGTGTCGCTTCCGAAGACTTTGTTTTGTTTTATATATAATTTATTTCTTCGTTTGTGATATCTACTGTTACCTGTACAAGTCTTATGCGAATGGGTCGCCAAATCGTGGCGAAGAAGGTAACTGGTTTCGCCATATTATCTTACTGCCTTTGCTAGAAGACAAGTGTAACGGAACTTCACTACTTCACTATCTAAATTCTGGAGAACATCTGTCAAATGCAATAAAAGCCGAGTAGCAGTATGGTTTAATAAATCTTGAAGATTAAGTTCAGCGCAAGTAGCAGTGATTTTATAAGATTCTTTTACAGGATAACAGTCATTTTTAGCCTTTTGTAAGATTGTGTAGCATGGGTATAGTTTCTTGTTAAAACTTCTAATTGTATCATACCGTCTCCTTGTCAGGCCAGCTTCGACAAACATAGACAACGCTTTCATTGGGGTTAATATGGTTGATAGTTGCTTTCCGTCATTTTGAGATTGAATGAACGCTTTTCGATATTTTTTTGCTCGCGTTGGAGATTGCACTAGGTCTTTTATCAGCTTTGAAGCATCAGTCTTGCCCTCAGAACGTAACTTCGAATGAGTGGCAAAAGTCAACTCTTCAGAACTTATTTCAGCAGGAATGCTTCTGTTTTTCGTCTTTCACTTCGCTCGGTAATATTACTAAAGGCATAGTCCAATTTCTTGTTAATGTCGTTATTGGGATACCCATGCAACATGCACACATTCTGGCTCCGCCTACGAGATCCGCCGGGTGGTACCTCCACGCTCGACAGTCAGAGACCGTCTACCACTTACGGACTATCACAAAATCCATAGCCAAGAGAAAAATTTCTCCTGGGCCGGGACTCGAACCCGCACAGCGCACGGCGACTGATCAGGGGGCCGAAGAGTCTACTACTGCGGCCACCGCTGCTGCATAACTTTAAGAGTCGATAGAACTTTTAAAATTAATGCATAAAATCTATATAGACATGGGTCGAAGAATTCGTGGCTTCCGAAATACAGGGTGTTTAAATTTACTTTCTAAAATGGATTTTTTTAAATATTTCGAACAATATTTGATGTATGACAGTGAAAATCGGTATACAAGGGTTTTTTGGTACGGCAAAACGAACCATGGGCATAGTTTTACTGTAGCCGCTAGAGGGCGCTCTCTACTGTACCTGTAGTGTATTAAAATGACCGAAAATTTGTTCTTAGTGCAATTTTTTGCTTTTTGAATATAAAAAAACTGATTCCTCGCACTTTTCAACATAAAAAAGCTCTCTTGTGAATTTTCGTTATAGTTAGCCGTTTTTGAGATAATTCGATTTTTAAGGTTCGATGTATTTTTAATTATTTATGATAAAATAACGTTAAAAAGTCAGTATCTCGATAATTTTTAGAAGTAGGCTGTGCCTGCAAATATTTTTGAAATTGAAAGCAGAATAAGGTTAAACGTCAATTAGTTGACAGTTAGTTTTGTTGTCTGTTGAAACCTGAAACGTTTTTTTGCAATTGTGAATACACGAAATTTAGTTTCTCTTACCTGTTTTTTTTTGTAAGTTTTATAAGAATGCCATTTTCATTCTCCAATCAAGAGTTAGCGGATATTGATTTTGTGTATGGCTTTGTAAATGGAAACGCAGCAGAAGCTGCCAGAGAATATGCACGAAGATTTCCAAACAGACGACATCCAACTAGCTCAGTATTTGTAAGAGTGCATCGCCAAATAATTGAAAATGGTTTTGGAAATCTCCAAAGGGATCAAAACATAAATGTTCGTCAGCGCAGATTTACCCGTATGTTTCTGCGTGAGTTTGATAGAGATCCGACCACAAGTGTTAGGAGAGTTTCTGGTGCTTTGGAAATTTCAGCAAGCCATGTTCACCGTGTTCTTAGAAATGAGCATAGACGTCCTTAACATTTGCAACCTGTGCAAGGACTACAGCCAGGGGACGGAGAACAAAGAATCACATTTTGTCTGTGGATTCTTGATAGAACTGATAATAATAGGGAGTTTTTAAGTAACGTTTTATGGACCGATGAGTCATGCTTCACTCGACGTGGAGTGGTAAATTTTCATAATCGACATATTTGGTCGGATGAATATCCGCATGCAGTTCGGAAAAGAAATTTTCAGCATGAATTTAGTGTGAACGTGTCGATTGGTATCTCTCGTAATCGACTATTTGGACCCTACCTTTTGCCTGCAAGGTTAAATGCTGCGACCTTCTTGGAATTTTTAAAGGCTGAACATGCAAATATGTGGGACGATGTTATGTTAGATTCAAGAAGATTGGCCTGGTTCCAGCTTGATGGTTGTCCAGCTCATTATTCGAGAATAGGTAGAAACTGGCTGGACGAAAATTATCCAAAAAGATGGATCGGCCCTGGAGGACCAGTCGCCTGGCCTCCACGATCCCCTGACCTAAATCCATTAGATTTCTTTGTGTGGGGATTTCTAAAAGAAAAAGTGTACTAGACTCCCGTAACCACAAGAGATATGCTAATAGACAGAATCAGGAATGCATGTGATGAAATAAGGCCTTATTTGAATAATGCTATACCACGTTCGATCATTCGTAGATGTGAATTGTGTATTGAACAATTGGATTTACATTTCGAGCAACTACTGTAGATTTTGTATGCTTGTCCTAACTATCCAATAGCATTTTAGTTGTAAATAATTAATTTAATTTGTTAAAAATAATATTGGAAAATTAAACAAATTAATACTCTGTTTTTTTGTATTTATTTGGAGTTAGGAATTATTGCTGTGTTTAAAAACACAATCTAAGCGATCATCTTAATTACTTGTAATGCCCAAATGCATCGAACCTTAAAAATGGAAATATCTCAGAAACGGCTAACTATAACGAAAACTCACAGGAGAGCTTTTTTATGCAGAAAAGTGCGAAGAATCAGTTTTTTTATTCAAAAAGCAAAAATTGCACTAAGAAAATTTTTTCGGTCATTTTAATACACTACGTACAGTAGAGAGCGCCCTTTAGCGGCTACAGTAAAACTATGCCCATGGTTCGTTTTGTCGTACCAAAAAACCCTTGTCTACCAGTTTTCACTGTTATATATTAAATATTGTTGTAAATTTAGACACCTTGTATTTCGGAAGCCACGCATTTTTCGACCCATGTTTATATAGACTTTATGCATTAATTTTAAAAGTTCTATCGAATCTTAAAGTTATGCAACAATAAACTGAAACACCCTGTATAATATGAGACCAAAATCATAATCGGGATGCATCCAGAAATTCGTCAAAACCATTCGAGTTTAATTAATATCAAAGGTAAAACTGATTGGAACATAGATTTTGCGAAAACGGCATTTCATTGTTAACACAAGAAAACCACGTAACTCCACTTTATATGGCGTTTAAAATAGGAAAAACACGTAATTTCTAATTTTACCTATTTTCCATCTTTGTTTTGAAAATTTCAGCTTTCTTTAAGTATCATTCAGAACCCGCTCAACTAAACTATAATATTGCATTTATCGCAATAATGCTATTATTCCTAAAACAATATAATGCATAACTGAATTGTTTTTACGATTTCATATAAAATTCTTAGAAACGGAGTTACGATTTTTTCATCGATGTTTTTTTCTAATAAATGAGCCAAAGCTACAATTAGAATTGATAAAATAGGTTCTACATACCTGCCTCAGATACGTCCATGCTGAAGAACGTGTACACGGTTCGTAATAACTTGTAAAAAGTTTGAAATATTGTCGTCACAATAAATACGCTGAGAACAGATACGTGAGCAATGAAGAGTGATCATATTCGCATCGCGACTACTGGCGAGAAATAGCAGTGGGCACACAAAAAAGTGTGGGACTTTTTCTAGCATCTGTTCCGGCATCTTAAGGCTGCTACACACAGTGCCGGCGGCAGGGCCGCCGGGCAAGCCGCGCAAAGGAGCCGCCGGGGAATGCCGGCGGGTTACGCGGTTTGCCGGCGTCACTTCGTTCCTGGCATTCGAGCGGTAGTGTTGTGCGGTTTGTGTGTTTAAAATGTCGTTTAATTGAGACGACGAAGCTGTGCTGCTCTTAATTGAAAAATTTCATGAAAATGATATATTATGGAATCCCAGAAATGCAGACTATAAGAATAGGAACAATCGACGCACTGAAAATAATTGCAAGTGTATTTGACATTGATAAAGGCGAAGTAGAGAGAAAGTTAAAAAATGTAACCTCTCATTATTTTCGGGAAAAAAAGAAGTTCGAACAGTTGCACAAATCTGGTGCAGGCATAGACGATGTACAGAAACCCAAAAAACATGCTATTGCGCAAACGCTGACACCCCACATCATCTTTTTTATACTCTTCTATCATTTCAGTACCGTTTCGCCATTTTCTATTTCGTAAACTTGGGTGCAACCCAAACCTTCTCGTCCTTTTGTATTTTTTCTTATTAAAATAAAAATTACAACTGCGGCGGCTGTGCTGATGATTTCCTTATTCATTTTAACCAACCAACCATCAAATATGCACTTCACTAGCGTTCTATGTGACCGTCACAACCGGAATGATGCTTGGCGGCTTGTGCCGGCGGCTTGTATTGCCGGCGGCATAGCCGCTCGGCATAAACCTTTTACAGCTACTACACACAAGCCGAATGCCAGGAACGAAGTGACGCCGGCAAGCCGTGTAACCCGCCGGCACACCACGGCGACTCCTTTGCGCGGCAAGGCCGGCGGCTTTGTATGCCGCCGGCACTGTGTGTAGCAGCCTTAAGGCACATACCAGTTTTGCGATACGAGCTATTCTGCAAAATCGACTTTTGTCCGGATTTTTAACTCAAATGCCCGTATGTGGACCGTTTAGCCGACTATTCCCCTCTAGAGCAACAACACCTCTTTCAACAGCTTGAGTTCAGAATGTCTGACAATCACTGCTCGGCACCGGTCACCCACGTTTTGGGAAAGTTTTACATATAAAAAACAAGCATTCAGATAGGCGTCAGCCCTTGGAGAGTACGTACTTTGTGAACAGAATGCTGTCTCACACATTATAGCTGTTTGAACAGAAAACATGTGTGGTATTGTGCCTTTTTTAAACGGTCAACATTTCGGTATTCATTTTACGTCTGCCCATGGGCTAAAAATATAAAATTCAAAATAATACTTGAAGTAATCAAGTGAAAGGTAAAGTAAAATAAAACGTCATAATTAGTTCCGAGGTCTGTAAATTAAGTGATGGGACTGATTTATTTTAAATTTTTCAATCAAATGTAAATACAATTTTATATTGTCACCCTCATTTTGAAGTCACACAGCACTAGAGTCGGTTCTTCCATTCCTTATAGCAGCGCTGGAACTCCGCTCCTTGAATAGCTTTCAGCTGGTTGGTTACAGCCGTTTAAACGTTTTCGACTGCCCCAAAATGAGTGCCCTTGAGGTGATTTTTCAACAGGCGAATAAGGCGGCTTATGAGCCACAGGAATGGTTTTACTGGCCAAAAACTCGTTTATTGATATTGCTGTGTGACAAGGAGGATTATCGTGGTTCAAGACCCAGTTGTTCTTGGTCCGATGAACGCTGCTCTCCAACCATTCTGATCTGATCGCATATTATGCCAGATTCTATCGATATTTTCATCGGTTCTCGAAGATGAAGGCCTTCCGCTTCATAGTTTATCTTCAGTCGGCTCTCTGTTTTCTGGAAATGCATTAAACCACCGAAAAAGCTGGACTATTGACAAAACACGATCTCGGTATGCGTGCTTAACAAGAGTTTTCGTTGCACTGTGCCCCAGTCTGAAGCAAAATCTGATAGCGTGCAATTGACGCCAGTCATTTTTAGAACACACTAGAAAAAAATGTTACACAAATTGAAAAAAAATCCAAATCAGAGCATTTTTCTCACCAGAAGCGAAGCTACCATCCGGACTAAATGCTGATATCTCCAGTTCATGTAATGGACAGTCCATTTAGCCCTATACAGGGTGATTCAGTTTATTATTGCATAACTTTGAGATTCGATAGAACTCTTAAAATTAATGCATAAAGTCTATATAAACATGGGTCGAAAAATGAGTGGCTTCCGAAATACAGGGTGTTTAAATTTACTTTTTAAAATAGTTTTTTTCAAATATTTCGAACAATATTTGATGTATAACAGTGAAAATTGGTATACCAGGGTTTCTTGGTACGACAAAACGAACCATGGGCATCGTTTTACTGTAGCCGCTAGAGGGCGCTCTCTACAGTACCTATAGTGTATTGAAATGACCGAAATTTTTTCTTACTGCAACTTTTTGCTTTTTGAATAAAAAAACTGATTCCTCGCACTTTTCGACATAAAAAAGCTCTCCTGTGAATTTTCGTTATAGTTAGGCGTTTTGGAGATATTTCGATTTTTAAGGTTCGACGCATTTTTAATTATTTATAATAAAATAACGTTAAAAAGTCAGTATCTCGATAATTTTTAGAAGTAGGTTGTGCCTGCAAATATTTTTGAAATTGAAATCAGAATAAGGTTAAACGTCAATTAGTTGACGGTTAGTTTTGTTGTCTGTTGAAACCTGAAACTTTTTTTTGCAATTGTGAATGCACGAAATTTAGTTTCTTTTACCTGTTTTTTTTTGTAAGTTTCATAAAAACGCCATTTTTATTCTCCAATCAAGAATTAGCGGATATTCATTTTGTGTATGGCTTTGTAAATGGAAACGCAGCAGAAGCAGCCAGAGAATACGCACGAAGATTTCCAAACAGACGACATCCAACTCGCTCAGTATTTGTAAGAGTGCATCGCCAAATAATTAAAAATGGTTTTGGAAATCTCCAAAGCGATCAAAACATAAATGTTCGTCAGCGCAGATTTACCCGTATGATTCTGCGTGAGTTTGATAGAGATTCGACCTCAAGTGTTATGAGAGTTTCTGGTGCCTTGGGAATTTCAGCAAGCCATGTCCACCGTGTTCTTAGAAATGACCATAGATGTCCTTACCATTTGCAACCTGTGCAAGGACTACAGCCAACGGACGGAGAACGAATAATCACATTTTGTCAGTGGATTCTTGATAGAACTGATAATAATAGGGAGTTTTTAAGTAACGTTTTATGGACCGATGAGTCATGCTTCACTAGACGTTGAGTGGTAAATTTTCATAATCAACATATTTGGTCGCATGAAAATCCGCATGCAGTTCGGGAAAGAAATTTTCAGCATGAATTTAGTGTGAACGTGTGGATTGGTATCTACCGTAATCGACTATTTGGACCCTACCTTTTGCCTGCAAGGTTAAATGCTGCGACCTTCTTGGAATTCTTAAAGGCTGAACATGCAAATATGTGGGATGATATTATGTTAGATTTAAGAAGATTGGCCTGGTTCCAGCTTGATGGTTGTCCAGCTCATTATTCGAGAATAGTTTGAAACTGGCTGGACGAAAATTATCCAGAAAGATGGATCGGCCGTGGAGGACCAGTCGCCTGGCCTCCACGATCCCCTGACCTAAATCCATTAGATTTCTTTGTGTGGGGATTTCTAAAAGAAAAAGTGTACTAGACTCCCGTAGCCACAAGAGATATGCTAATAGACAGAATCTGGAATGCATGTGATGAAATAAGGCCTTATTTGAATAATGCTATACCACGTTCGATCATTCGTAGATGTGAGTTGTGTATTGAACAATTGGGTTTACATTTCGAGCAACTACTTTAGATTTTGTATGTTTGTCCTAACTATCCAATAGCATTTTAGTTGTAAATAATTAATTTAATTTGTTAAAAATAATATTGGAAAATTAATCAAATTAATATTCTGTTTTTTTTGTGTTTATTTGGAGTTAGGAATTATTGCTGTGTTTAAAAACACAATCTAAACGATCATCTTAATTACTTGTAATGCCCAAATCGAAAATGTAAAAAAAATATTATTTTCCCATAAATAATTAAAAATGCATCGAACCTTAAATATCGAAATATTTCAAAAACAGCTAACTATAACGAACACTCACATGAGACCTTTTTTATGCAGAAAAGTGCGAGGAATCAGTTTTTTTATATTCAAAAAGCAAAAAATTGCACTAAGAACAAATTTTCGGTCATTTTAATACACTACAGGTACAGTAGAGAGCGCCCTCTAGCGGCTACAGTAAAACTATGCCCATCGTTCGTTTTTTCGTACTAAGAAACCCTGGTATACCAATTTTCACTGTTATACATCAAATGTTGTTCGAAATATTTAAAAAAAACTATTTTAAAAAGTAAATTTAAACACCCTGTATTTCGGAAGCCACGCATTTTTCGACCCATGTTTATATAGACTTTATGCATTAATTTTAAAAGTTCTATCGAATCTTAAAATTATGCAACAATAAACTGAAACACCCTGTATAATTAATGTAGCGATAAGCGCCATACTCAGTAACACATATTACCAAAACTTTTAAGATAACCCAGATATGGGGTTCCGAAGAGATCTGAATGTGTCAGCTCCAGACCAGCATCCAACATGAAAAGGCATGACGTGAGTCAGTATCCAAGTTAGGCGCCGCACGGTGTGTATGTTAACATATTTAGTACATTTCTCGCATGGACTCTTTGTTTTAAAGGGTTCCATGTATCGGTTCCATAATCGAGAGACTGTCCTTTTCCGTCATTGTTTATTGTAGAATTTCCTTTGATTGTAATGTTTGCTCGTGCCGGACGAAATATTTTGAATTACTACGGAATAACGTAGGTATAGATATGATGATCGGGTACGTCTTTAAGATGCTACTGAAGCTTCGTAAGTGTATTCAGCTTGTTGTCTTGGATGTTTCCATCTGGAGCTGTGTAGGTTTGCTTATGTGGTGCAAGGGCTGACAAGGTGGCACAGTGAAAGGTTTCAAAAGCCCCCAAATTAGGAAAAACTTATGTTTCTAAATCTAGAGATGGCAATCTCAAGCAGTACTACTTGAGACTACTCGTCAAACTAATGGTAAGTACCTTTCATTTTATTTTTTTGGGTGTTCGTTGCTGTTTTATGACATATATGCCTTATTGTTCTGAGGAATGGCGTACTTTCGGGACACCCTTTATGTATATCGTGTGATATATATGACAGATGTGCTTCGATAATAAGCTTTATGAAGAAGTCAAAGAACCTTTTCTTACGATAGTCAAGCTCAATGCAGTTCTATGTATTGCTTTAAGAACAGATGGGTCTATAAATTTTTTATTTGTTTGAGCTCTTCCTGTAAATGTGTTTTTTCTGCAGCAAACCGACGGGAATCGGTCCTGAGCAATTTTCTTCTTCAAGTAACCTTATATAATTTAAGACTGTCATCCAGAAGAGCAATTTAATTGCAAGCATAACCTCCTATAGATCGCGCATGCTTCTTACTTTTTCTAGTAATCAGTTCTGTTAGCAAAGTACGCAAGAGTGAGTAGCAGGAAACTAAATCTGTAATTGTTGGCGTATAACTTGCTGAAATCTGGAATACTTAAAGAGGTTGCCAACTGAAGCGGTTGATTTGGGAAATGACAATTTTAAAACGATTTTCCGCAGTCTAGACCACCGTCTTCCGATAAATGAGGATTACATTAATAAACTAGTCAAAGATAAAACGATCCATTATACAGCAGGATAAAGAGAGGCTTTGTGGAAATGCGACAGGAAATGTAAATTTTCTTAATAATATTATTCCCGTGGCTTGCGGAGCTGGTCTGTATTCGACTTGAAATATTTTCTCATCCTAGTAATTAATGGGCTCAGATTTGTGAGATTACTATACGAACAACCTATTTAGGTGAGTCTTTTTTGGCGTAAGGGATCTCCTCTGAACTGCACAAAATTCGAACACTGTAATCAGGAAAAGCTGTAATTTAATCGAAAAACCTAGTAAATCGACTTAGGTGTTTACATTGCTTGCTTCTTCTCAGGCAATACATGGAGATCTATTTATTGGCAAGCGAAAATTGTTAATCCGATTATTTTCTTTGGAGATATTAAGAGCTTATTTTCAGTTAGTGAAACTGCTGAGATATAACTAACTTCCAGCAGGGATAGCTCAACTTTTCGAATGTACGAATAACTGCTATCATGTATAAAATGATAATTTGAATTCACTAAAGCATCTCTCACGAATCACAAGCAAAAATCTCAGTAACG